TGATAAATTCAGTAAGTCTGATCCAAATTAATTCCAGCTACATCAACATCTTTTTCTGTGCACAGTGTAGAATCTGTCCCTCAATTTGCCTTTAGCTGGAGCAACTTTGAAGTTCATTTTTCTGTCATTTATTTTATTAATCTATATCACCTCCTTGCTATTTGATCAACTCGTCTTAACTTCAGTTTCTTTTATTTCTGCATTCACTTCACTTCATGTGAGTGACCAAATCTGTCTCTTACATTAAACATACATAGATATTAGTTTTCAGTTTTATTAGAATCTTTTATTATCTAGGATTAGTGTCAGCTTCTGCCCTCTGCTTTAAGAAGCTTTGTTGCAATATCAGGAGTCACTGCAGAGAGCACCAGGAGCAGTAACCACTGAAACAATATATTTTAAGTTTTCACTCTTCTGAGGTGTCTTTGGTGGTATTGCTAGGGTGGAGGGGTACTCTCCTTGATTAACAAGACATTGAAATTCACTACAAAAAGTGCACAAGCTCAGCTCAAAGCTGTGCTTAGTGGGTCATCAGTCATTTCTGGGACTGTCACTGTGCCAGCAGCAACCTGTCCCCTTTCTTCCTCATCTGTCACATCCATGACTCCACAAGGTCAGCAGAACCCAGCACTAACTCCTGATGTGGGTTGACATTTACTCCAGTTTTTGTACTGCGTGCCAGTTGGTTTGGCACTGAAGGTCAGTTTGTCTAACATATCCTGCATGAGGTGGATACGTGTTTTCGGCATTCATCCACTTCTGTTCAGTAGTTCAGCACAGAGCCTTTAATCAGTCTGGATTACACAGAGAGATGCACAGTGCAATATGCCATTCGCTGGATATAATTATAATGACCGAGTTTCAGCTGTTCCAGTCAGGTGATCCCTATCAGCCCTTTCCAAAGGACCCCAGTATGCAGCAGCATCATCTCAATTCAACAATGAGCACTGCCAGGTGTAATATTTTCTTTATGTTGAATAATAGATCGCAGAAACCTACGTTCACCTACTGACATTATGACAGTAAATGGATGTGTCATACATTGGACATCACTCAGTCTCAACATCAGCGTACCTACTGCATACATCACCTAGCACAAGTGCTTTCCCATTTTCATTTCCTAAGTGTCTTTCTGCATGCTATCAAAACTCATCTTTCCTTTTCACAAATCCTTTAGTTCCACTGTATGTATCACTCTTGCAGTGTAATGATTCCAAACCTTGCTATGCAGTTCATTTGTTTGCAATATACCACATTTATTTCTAATGCAAGTAACTTCATGCTCCTTTTAAGTCTGTGTCATTCTTCCTCTTACCTTGAAAATTAATAGCTGAGATTATCTCTTTTCTTCCTCTGAATGTAAATTGAAGTCACAAATACAGTTAAGCTACTGCTACACTTCTTTTTAGTGTAGTTTAATTTGTTTGTGAGCTATCTTTTCACGTTAAGCACTTGCCTACCTGTTCTTCAGTCTGTCTGTTTTTGCAAAACATAATTTTCTTGGCTTTTTTTTTGCACTCTCAGTAAACTGAGCCCTTTTTCCATCTCAGCACAGCAATCTGTGACCTCTTGGGCCATTTTTTGGATCAGCTGGCTTTTACTTGCAATATTGTTCTTTTAGGTATAGTCAGTGAGTCTGTGCAGTACTTCTCATGTGGAAGGTCTTTGTTCTTTCAAGTTTTTGCCTGTAAGTATTTTACAGCTTCCCACTGTAATTGCATAATATTATGCTACAGTAGCTCAAGTCTGTTTAAGTGTATGAGTAGGACTTTTCATGAAAAATTACTTCTACAAACATAGCTTTGTACTTGGCATTTCTATATGGAAGCCATTAAACAAGAGACTAATTCTTCTTTGGGCTCAGTGCAGTTCTTATCTGTGTGAGTGATCCTATTGACTACAAAAGGACTTTTCATATCAGTCATGATTGTAGGACTGGACTCTTCATAGTTTGGAGACAATTTAAAGCCTATTCAACAGCAGCTGCTTGTGGCATGGAGTGGAATATGTATCCTGTGCCAAGCGGTCAGGTTCACATGGCTTATTGCACATTCCACTCCAATGAAAAACAAAAAGCCATCCTGTTTGTCCTCTCCATTGCTCTTCCTGCAAAGCAACAAATGTCAGAACATGTTGTGGAATAAGAATTAATTGAGCAACATTACATACAATTTTTTTTTTCTTCTTTTTTTTTTTAAATAAGTGCAAGATCTATGAGCTTGCTGCTGTTCCAGTCATTGTTTGGTAGTTTTGCTAATTGTAATAGATGTTCTGAACTTTTGCATCTAAATAACAAGGGGTCTCTTTACCCAGTGTTACCACTGGAAAATCTACAGATTATTTATAAAGTATCATTTGTAAGTATCTGCCGATTATTTTGCAATTTGAAGTCTCTGACTTTTTCATCTTACATCTGATTTGCCTGTGGGGATTGCCTTTTTCTTAGGCCATTCACTGTGTCAAAAGAAATGAAAGATATTGTACCTAAGAAAATTAGAGAAATCCTGCATTTCCCCAGTGATTTCTGTGACTTCATTTCTTCTGCTGGTAACAATTTAGATATAAGCATTCTCCATGCAAGTCCATCTTTATAAAAGGACATTGTGTTTTGATTATTTAGAACCTGAAGTCACAAAGGGCATGTTGTAATTAGATTTACTTAAGTAGGAATTGAAAATGTGTTGTAGTAGTCAGAATCCCCAGGGGAAGGTTTCTAATAAAATCTCCATTGAATTTATTCGTATGTGGAAAGAACAGTCAATATTTGAGGTATGAAATGTCAATAAAAGTTAAAAAGTATTAGCATTCAGTGTGCATTACAGTGCATGGCCTTGCCAGTTAGAATACTGCAGCATTGTTTCACAAAGCTTGTATGTGCTTTCAAAAATACAATCTCTATGGAAAATAGAATTAGTCTGTTAAAAATAGAGCTCCCTAGTCATGAAAATGGGTAGTTTAATATAAGATAAAATCTAAAATTTTTTTTAAAAAAAAAAATCTATCTTACAGAAGTTAAAGGTAAAATATCCATGTTTTTTTGTTACCATTGTCCTGGTTTGCCTGGGACAGACTCACAGCCCAGCCATGCCAGGCAGGCCATTAGCAGTTTCAAGCCAGCCAGGGCAGCTGACCTGAGTTAGCTACAGGTGTAGCCCATACTGTAATGTCATGGTCATTATAAAGGGGGAAAGTTTACTAGGGAGAGGGAGCTCCTGTGGGGTTCTTCTTGGGGGTTCCATCTGCTCCTCCTTTAGCTTTTGCTGAGGACTGCTCTGCAGTAGATTGTGCTAACAGTGTGTTCATTCAGCTAAGTATTTTTCTGTTTGTTCCAGTGGTGTTTTCACTAAATCTGTTGTACTTTTACCTATGGGTCTTCTCTCCTTTTTCCCAATTCCCCTCCCTGGTTGGTGAGGATTAATTGGGTGGTAGAGCAACTGTTATGGTTTAGGTACAGGCTAAACGTAGACAACGATGAATACAGATGAGAGGATTGTTTTCTAACATTCATGCATGTGGGGATTTGCTGGCGTCCTAATGGTGGCAGAGGCCACTCAGCTGTCTGCTTGCTATTTTATCTTCTCCACTGGCATGGTAAAAGATAGCAGTATAAAAAGTGTTAAGGCAGAGAAAATATGGCAGAACGTTTTTCCGTTAACTTGATGTCCTCTTTACTAAACTTTTAACTTATGCATGGATTCCTGTGATGCCTACCAGTCCCAAGTTCACTGCCAAATCCTGAAATCAATGGTAAAGGCAAAAGTTTTTATTTTCTAGTCAGTTCTTCTGGGATGGTGCCATCGGCTTCTATAGCCCCAAACAAACCACCGACAGTAATTCAGAACAAAAATGCCTCTAGATGGGATAACTTTCCCTCAGGGGCTGTGCGGTGTTACAAAGCATAGGATCCAGTTTCACATCTGTTCTCCAATGAGGAAGCGTTGCCTGGAAGCCATCTAGGTCTCTCTTACATTATGTCTTTTCTCTTGCTGACCAGCCACCAACAGGAAACCGTTCCTTCTAGCCTCTTGCTCTAAAACTTCTAAGGCAAGTGTTGAGCTGCATTGATGGAATTGAACAGTTGGGTTAGACTTTCTTCAGCTTGTTGTCTGATCAGTGTAAATCCCTTTGTGTGCCCCTTTCACCACAACTTCAAGGAATTAGTGAGCAACATTGAAATCCTGAGAGCTGTCAATGTATTTACTGCATTGGAAACAATCATTTTGGTAGTGGGGGGGGAAAAAAAAAAAAAAACAACCCTGCTTACTTTCCAGTACCAAATTCCTGCTTATAAATTTAAAATGCGCTTCTTATGAGTATTCTCTAACACTAACTTTAAATATCCCATTTGTTTTCCTTATTATCTGTGGAAAAGGCTAAGTTAATTCAAGTAAATTCCACACATTTGTTCATGGAATAAATGGAAACATGGGAAACATAGTGAATTATTTGCTTATGAGTTAAATTACCACTGTGAGACGAAGTTTAGAAGTTTTAAATGCTGCTGTAGAAAAGCAGATGTTTAACTTTCAACAGCTGCTGTGTAGCCACCTGCTGTCATCTTTCTGCTTTTCTCTATCCAGTACCTATGAGACTAAAATGAATTGAAAAGTTTTGCTAACTTTCAAGTGTGAGTTATTTCACATAGTGTACCGAGACTACATTAAGTACTTTGGCAGGTTTCCAGAGTCCTTTTCTTTTTCTGTTACGTGGGGTTTTTTTTAATGAACAGAATTTGTTGGTTTTTTTAAAAATGGGTTTGTGCATGGCTGTCTATCGTGCTCTATATCTATCTACATATATATCATATTGCCTGTTTCTCATCTAGAGTCCGTTTTGAGGTCAATAAAGGTAAATGTTTTTTACAGTACCCTTTGCATGTGCCTTCAATGGCTTTGCAATTGTGGAAGCCAGTCCACCTACATTGACACAAACACACAGAGGCACACACACATGGTCCAAACACTTTCATTATTGTTTGTATTGTTTTATTCTTTCTTCAGGTCTCCTGTAATGGCTGGAGGTCTATTTGCCGTTAACCGGAAATGGTTTTGGGAGCTGGGAGGCTATGATCCAGGATTAGAAATATGGGGAGGAGAGCAGTATGAAATCTCCTTTAAGGTAAGTCACCAAGTCACCTTATACATCACTTCCTTACTTGTTTGGCACAAGACTCATGGGATCATGATGCTTTCATTCATACTGTCCAAAATTAACTAAAATTGATTTAGTACAATGCTACTTTTTCCTTTAGGAATTCCCTCTAATTTCACAGAGAATTATGCTATGCTCCAGAAGCCATACAAAAACCACACTGAGTGCAGTTCCCTCTGAAAATGGGATAGATTACCACCATCAAAGAATGAAGCTCTACCTTGTTCCTTCCATCATATCTTCTCCACTTACCTTCTCTTAGATGCTGCATTTACTTCACGCTCCAGTGTTGAGCTCAGCTCAATAAGTCAAGCGATAACTAATCTAGAATAAAAAGAAAATTGCATAATTTTCTGCCTAGATCAACAAGTTTGATCATCTCTGGAGGCAGGCTCCCCTGGAGTCAGCTCAGGGAAATGGGTGGAAATGGAAAGAGAAAGTCATAGGCAGAAGGACCGCTTTCAGTTGCAGCGAACCACTAGATCGGCTCAGCTGCTATAAGATGTTATCTACAGGCCAGCTTTTCAAAATCAGATTATTTTTTTTAATTGCATTTGAATTAGTGGTATGACAAAATATATGGGGAGTTTTCAAGTGCTCAGGTTCTGTACAGCCAGCCACAATATATGCCTATATTCTCTATGTGGACATGTGTATTCAAATCAGTTTCTTGGCTTTTACATGTCAAATTGAAAGTCTTGTTACTTTCCACATATAAAATAGGTATTTGCATTAGTTTGATGAGGACTAATATGTCTTATTTTAAAGACTGAGTTTATCGTGTTCTAGTATACCCAAAAAACTTTACCTCATGGCCTCTACATGTAAAGATTTTCAATGACTTGATAGAATTTCATGACATACATGAATTGATTCAGGTGTATTTGGATAAAGCTTGTAACTGAAATCAGAATTCACATTTAGCTTCAGGATCTTTCCAACCTACTTCCAAACTTCAACAGTGTAAAGCTCAGTAAATAAATGTAATATGTCAGCCATGACTAATGTCGCATATCTTGCTGAATCTGAGTTTCAACAGTGATTAAAACAGAGCTGAGGCCATTCCGTTGAACAAAACATACAGTGTGACCTGACATTGGACTGCCAGGCTGTCTCTACAGCAGTTATCAAAAACAGCAAAATGGTTTGTATTAACTGTGCTACTCTCATGTTTCTCGAAATCCTTTTTATACTCCAGCAAAATAAAACAAGAGTGCAAGGGAAACCTAATAGCTAGACAGGGTATTTAGAATATGTTGATTTACCTTCTGTCCATTTAGATTGTTTCAGAGGCAAATGTAAGTAGTCACTAGGAGCTGTCACAACAGTCTCTGACAGGTCACCCATATTCCTTTTATTCATCATCACAAAGAATATGCTTGTGCTTTCCAGTCTTTGTATAGAAACCATGGTAACAGCACTGGAAATTGAGATACTAGGTTGTCCCAGTGTGTTTTGCTCAAGTGATAGATTTTTTTTTTTTTTTGAGTAGCTGTGTCACACTGGGTCTCATTTCAATCATATCTCCTGATTCATCTCATTAGCATGTACTGACCTTAGGGTCCCTGTCTTTTCTTATTAGTGTTAAAAGAATTAAAAGATACTCTTTAGAAGTGATTGCTGAACAGGAACAACTTTTTTTGGAAGAATTTAACAGATACAAGTTTTAAAAAGAAGGCTGCTGTTTTGTTTCGAATGACAAAGAATAGGGGAAAAATCATGGAGGTGGAAGGGAGAAACAGAAAGGACTGTTATTATGTCTTTATTATATCAGAATTACCAATATCAGTTGGGGAAAAGTTTCTGCTTCAACAGTTTCTGCTGTAGCTATAGATTCAGTCATCTTAAAACTTACTTGAAAAGGACAAGTTAGCCAGACAGTTTAATTTACTGGCTTTATTCACAAAACTTGGGAATGTGGTGGGCTTGTCATCTCTGTTATTCACAATGTCAGTGAAAATGCCAGACAACCAGCCTGGTTCGGTTTCCTCAGCTGCTTGAGTGGGTGTGAAACTAAAGCTTACCTTTTCTTAGTGTCCACGTCTATGGCCTGTGGAAGCATCATAGGATGGGTGCCCTGTGTTGTTGCCATGTCTCACGTTAATGTTATTTTGTTTGGCAAGTGATCATTTGGAGTATCCTGCCTCAATAACATATCTAACCACCAGATAGTTAGCTATTCTTATACATTTCTTCTTTGATTCAACTAATTAAGTGTTTTGTAAAAATGTGACAGGTTTTAACTAAGAAGTTAAAAAAAAAAAAGCCGATTTGAAATGAAATATTTAATTAGAGGACTGTTTTAGGCTGATCCTTAACTTTAGAGACAGACACAGTGTTCGTTTTATGTTCTTCATATACCTTGTTTTTAACTTTGAGATTCGTTTGTACGAAAGCTGCAATAAAAGAGTAAATAAGTAAACCATCTTCTACAGTAAACAGAGACCATGCTGATGACACAACCTTCCTGGTGTCAGACTGGGGATTCTTGTGGTTAATTCAGATACTGTGATGTAGTTATGGAGGGTTGCATGCCAGAGCAAGAGCTGTCATGTGCTCCCTGAAATGAAGTAGCGTCTGGTTCATCTTGAACTAGTTGCCCTGCTCTGTGAGCTGGAGTGAGGAGTGTTTGCAGATCATTTCTGGTCCTCAGTGATGCATTTTAAACGCTATGGATTGACACACTACTGTAACCCTTCTGCTTAACATTTTAACAGTAGGTCCAGGTACTATAGAATTCAGGTAAGCTGTGGCATGTCTTTGAATAGCACCACTAATGTTTTGATGCAAAGGGAGCTTATGGGTACACTCAGGAAGACTTTTCACCAATGTGTGTGTCAAATATGTTTGTGTCCAGGTTCACTGGTGGGAAACATGGAATAATGTTTGAGAAATAGTATATGTTTGCTATTCTCTGGCCTAAGTTTATTTGGAGAAGAATTTCCTAGGTGTGGGGATGAAATTTCATTCCACGGAAACATTCACATATTATATAGGGAAAAGATCACCTAACACTAAAGATCCTATTAAGGAAAAGCATCTTCTCAACCGAAGCCCTCTGCATTACTGTATCAGAGACATCCATAGTCATCCCCACAACTCAAGTTACAGAAGTGTTTGCTACAAAGCAAGTGGGAAGCCATGAGTGCAAAGTGTGGGCTTAGAATCAGAGAAATTGGATCTTTCAGAAAAGTATGATCTGTGCTAGCCAAGACCCAATAAAATAGTTTGTCTGAAGTCCTCTGACTTAAGGAATTATAAGCTTCTTCATCATGAACTTAATATCAACTGCTCTGCTCGCTGTAATCTTCTCTGCACTTTGCAAACCCCAGACAGGCAATGAATTAAAGTCTGGTGCTGGAACACAGGGCCGTCATGCAAGCTCAAAGGAATCACTTATAGTAGCAAAGCCGTATTGCTTTATGAGTTCAAGATGCTAAGACAGAGTTCAAGGACTGATTAAATATTAGATTAGCAGGGCAAGTGGTTGCCTGGGGAGTTGGGCAGCAGTTCCTGACAAGAAGAAGTCGAAACAGACTTAGGAAGGATACTCAGGCTGGAAAGCTTGGAGAGAAATTGTCAATTTTTATGTTTCTCTCTAGCTGTTTTCAGTAGATGTGACCTGGGGTGACAGACAGCAGGCTTCAGTACAGAGCTTGGTCCTAATGAAAAGTCTTTATCGGGGGTGGGGGGAGGAGGGTTGCATTATCTTATTGTACAGGGACAGAAGGTGGGTGGTGTAAGGAAAAATGTGTTTGGAGGGGGGAAGGGTGTTCAATGGAAAAAGAAAAATACTACAGAGAGTGAGTCTGCAGTGAAACTAAATTTACTGCAGTTTCAATTCAATAAGTTTCTCCAGAATACAGTATGCTTTATAAGGTTTCTGTGATGTTTGGAATTGTGCCATAGCAGGAAAGAAAACTTCCTCAAACTGCAGGCATGACTATTCCAGGTTCTGAGTAGTCAGGAACACAGGAGACAGGGTAAAAAAAAAAAAAAAAAAAAGCTGCTGCTTTAAAATTTGTTTGACCTTTATTTCCTCTGCTACAAAACCCCAAAATATTTCTCTTTTGTTCTTTACTTGCTTGCTAACATTGCTGCAGAGAACAGCAGCAAGTATAGCACTAGATGCCATGCTGATTAACTGCTGTTTCCAAATCAAAGCACATGCATGCACATTCAATGGATGGTGAGGCAGCACAACCCATGTCTCAAAATATTACTTCTTCATTAAATAGTTTCTTAGATTAATTTTTACATAAGAAATAACGTGCAGCATTTTATTTTTTTGATAGTATAACCTAGGGATCAATTTTTTTAATTGGAAATATGTATGATATCTTGCTGATGATACTGTTCAGCATATGCTAGACTTGTGAAAGCTGGCAAAGCATTGGAACTGACCTGATTAATAACATCTCTTCTCAATAACCAGGGAAGCCACTATTTAGGAAATACTAGATTTAAATCTTTTAGAAAGGCATAGTTTATGTAGTAATCACCAAAATATAAAGTATTGAAACATACTAATTTCCTGTGTTTGCTGAAGATCCTTGTGGTGGGTTGGCCCTGGCTGGACACTAGGTGCTCACCAAAGCTGCTCTATCACTCCCCTCCTGAGCTGGGCATGGGGGGAGAAAATACAGTGAAAGGCTCATGGGTTAAGCTAAGGACTGGGAGATCAGTCAGTAATTACCATCACAGTCAAAACAGACTTGACTTGGGGAAATTTTAATTTATTACCAATCAGATCAGAGAAGGGTAATGAGAAATAAACCCAAATCTTAGAACACCTTCCCCCCACCCCTGCCTTCTTCCCATGCTCAAGTCTGCTCCTGATTTCTCTCCCTCCTCCCCCTGAGTGACGCAGGGGGACAGGGAATGGGGGTTGGGGTTAGTTCATCGCACTGTTGTTTCTGCTGCTCCTTCCTCCTCAGGGGGAGGATTCCGCACACTATTCCCCTGCT